CATGTTAAAAAAAAAACTCAAATACTTCACAGTTTCCGTGGTCGCTGTCAACTGGGGCGTGCTTCGGCGATATTTTAATTAGAACCCGCGACAAACCAAGACACTTAATTCAAGCTCTTAAAAGTTAACTCAAATTTATATGGAGTTGGAAAGCTTGCCTACGTTTGCCGCTAGGGGCACCGTTCCAACTCCATACAAATTTGAGTTAACTTTTACGCTATAGAGAACGTTAAAAAACACGCTCTAAGCACACTACTGATCTTTAGGCCTGCGTCTGCGTATCATAGCGCTAAGTGCTAAAGACAAAATGCGGGTGACGTCACTCAATCTCTGGGACCAGTTCGTTAATTTTCTCTTTACGAACAGGTTCCGATACTCGCCAACGAAAGTGAGTACATATTTGTGTATCGGCGTACGGATGTTGCAGTCCGAGTGTGTTTTTCATAATTTTTGAAGTGACAACTTCTTTAGCCGCGTTAAGCACTTATTGTTAGAGGATTTTTTTGTGATCGCGCCACCGACTTGCGTAATAGCAGTAAAACTGTACATCAAGGGGATTAATCCAAAATTGTTGTTTTTTGGTAAACGCTAAAACTGTTATTGAAGAATTGTAATCTTTAAATTTTTGTTTAAACATTTATATAAGCGATTTATTTCAAAGAGACGGAAAGAGTACTTTGTCCTTTTCTAGACTAAAAGAGACTCTTCAATTTTATAAGCTGATGGAAAATATGTTCTTAAGTCGATCTTTTTTTTCTCCTATTTAAGCTGGTAGTTCTTAGAGGCTATGCCAGCCTTACCGAACGAGATGAGCTCACGGGACTCAAACCGGAAGTGTTGCTAACACTAGCCCTAGCATGAGCAGTGCTTCGCAGAATCTACTGCCGGATCGGAAACGCGACCAACTGAGAAGTTCCGGCGACAATTTGAATGGGCTGTGTCTGTGGATTAATTTATTGAACGATGACCGGTGCTTGTGGTACCTAAAAGAACCGTTAGAGGATCGGGAGGATCCGAAATGACGTGAAATTCGATCGAACTTTGAAATTCCTCTTCTTAAAATTTTTAGTTAAGCTATTTCTAATATTCTCTCTATGCTATATTCAATTCAATAGGTGTACGATATATAAAATGTGTTCTCAAAATTGTCTACGAGGTGAATCGATAGAACAACTTTCAGTTTCCTTAACGATCGCTGCAAAAATATGTCGATTTTTAGGTCTAGGCTCTAAACCTGCGGGCAATTAATTATACGTTCCTAAAAAGACATTTTCAAATATGTCTTTTACGTGATAGTCACTGCAACATGTGTATGCGTGTCGGACTGTGTTAGATTTTTCTTTTAACTTCATCCATCTACCTACATCCATATTGATGTATTTATTTAGGAAATATTTTTAAAGAAAAGAGCTTATAAGTTCCGGCTCGCAGGAAACAACGATTTGTTTGGTGATGAAATTCCTACTTTTTGTTTAAGTTTTATATTAATGCAATTACTACTAGGTACTTTTAGTTGTAATCACTAAACTTGTTACCTCCGTGCGTCGTGTTCCTCAGTGCTGAGGATCGTGACCTTTACGGATTACATACGTAAAAGTTTTCTTGGGAAAATAGCTAGTGATGGGTTCCCGCGTCCTTCCACAGCAGAATTTCAGAGGCGATTTAGTTGCTCTGGGCTACTGAAGTCCTAGTTCGGGTTAGTCGACCGCCGCCAAAGGACCGGCAATGGCAGAGTTACTTGTTAGCAAATAGCGATATCTTCAAAAACAATCATATCATTACAAAAGAAATTATCGTTTAGTATGTAGAAACGACGTTTGTCAATTTTTACAGAGCTACCTTGGCTGATACCCAAAAATTACAATAATTATAACTACATTACGTTATTATTTTATTAAGTTATAGAGGAATACGCAATTCTTTTTTTACTTTCAAGCGCATATGAATTTGTTTTTGAATAACTAGTTTTTAATTGAATTTTTGAACGCTCGAGAAGTGTAACGCCATCTATTATCAAATAACGGAAACACATATCGAAACGACTCGCCTTATCGGGAATGTTCTCGATAATTGTAGAGTTTCGTGTTGACTATAAAAGCGTTGCAGAGATGACACGAAGGCAGTTAGTAAGCGGTTCTACTCGAAGCGAAACAGTGAACGGATCACCTGAAGCGAAGCGGAAGAAGTCAAATAGAATTGTAATTTGTACTTCGGTGAAAGATTTATTTATCCCGAACCCCAGCGCGTAACAATATCTCATTCATTTCTCTATACTTCTAAGGAGTATTAACAGATTAAATTTTATGGGATTGACGCGTGCTAACATAAGATGTGTTGATTGCGTAAAATTACGTGCAATATAGTACATATTAGGGGAGAATATATTGTTTTTTTAGGAGCGAGGGATTTCTAATGGCGCTCAAGCTTTTGGGGTACACCATCAGTATGGGGACCAGGGAGGACTGCGAACATTCAACAAGTAAATTTTGATGGCAATTAAATATAAATTGAGCCGCCACGATGACTCCGGCTTTTGTTTATTTAAATTTAAGTTTAACCTAGCTTGCGTGCGTAACTCAGATCGGTTCAATAGTGCTAATAGTATAGTAGTACTGATGTCCGTGGTCCGGTCTCGCTGTGAGCTAATAAGTTATATTAAACTTTAAATGTCAACAGGTGGAGTGTGTAAGCGGTCGGTGTCTTACGCCCCAGTGGACGGGGTGGTCCAACCCTTAATTAAGGCCACGGCTCGAGGGGTAGCGGAGCGGGGAACGATTTTTAAATAAATCGCCATTTAGTAAAAGCAAAAAAAAACTGTATTTTATAATTGTAATGTCATATAGCTTTTAAGATGATGGCGTATACCGTATGAGCAGCATAAAAAAAGTTCAATTATTGCCTTGACAAAATAAAAATATCGTGCCTGTTCACCTTGGAAGCGTGAAAGAAGTGATACTTCTTTTGCCGTTTGTAATATTGAGGTTTTCTTTATTTTTCATCCTGAAACCAAAATTTCTCTTGTTATAAGAAATGCTGTGTATAAGAGAAACGACCTCTTCATCATTTATCTGTAGAAAAAATAAATATGTATATATAGGTATTTTTTAAATCTTTCACAAAAAATAAAATATAAGATAGTTGATATGTTACTGCCTACTGGAGCAATGAGAAACTAATAACAAGGCATCTAGCGGCCGACGCCCGTAAATAGAATGTGTGTAAGAGAAACGACCCAGCTCACTTTCTCCCTCTCTCCACGGTCGAGTGGTTCGCGAGCCACTCTGTCTATTTTCTCACTCTCGGTCTTCCTAAATTCTATTTTTTCTCTGTAGCCGTAACGAATCTGTGGCGACTTAAATTTTACTCTCAACGCACTTAAAGAAGTTTCACTACAAAATGTAACCTGTGACATGACAATACCGCTTCTATCAATGGTATGCAACATTTGATAAATAATTCTTATTTTTTATACGAACAAAGTACGACATCTCTGAAAAGGCGTCGGATTGATAAATAAGTCTATCTATCTCTTAGGTTTATGGCGTTTCCTTTTAGATTTCGCCAATGTCAAGTGTATTTAATACTCTGCTTTCTATAGCGGGCTTCGTGAACGAGCAAGGTCACAGATATTCACTAAGAATTAAGTGAGTAGCTAAGAATGTTTGATGACAGGATCTCTGTTGATTTACAAATAAGATAACACACTTATATAAACACACAAAACTAATAATTAGCTAATCAACAGATAATAGAACCCAATAAAGCACCCGAAAATTATTAAACAACCAAAACACTTGCTTCAAACACTCAACCACAAACCGAAACCAACTACGTATTTATCATGTTTTTAACAATTCGATAAATAAGTCTTAAAAGTGTCCAAGTCATGACAGTCCAAGACAAATATTTTGAAGTTACCAATAAGGTTCAATTTTTTTTAAAGATTTTATGGCCTGGTAAGGAGACCATTACGTCAAGCCATAGTCAAGGCCCGTTGCTATACGTGAAGCAAAAACTTTGTACCCATTTTTACGAAAATAGCGCGGACGGAGGAGTATGACATTCATGACATTTCTCACACTTATAGAGATTATAGAGAATGAGTGCAGAATGCAATTTTCTTTTTTTAAATTAGGACATAAATTACATTAAATCTATAAATATAAACATTACAGACACTACCATGTATTTGACACACACGCGCATGGATACTTTTTGTTTATTGTGAAACTCTTGTGGTCAAATTGAGAATAGATTCATATTGTTTGTCTTTATCACTGTCTTTATTAACATATTTGTCTATAGTGTAGTCTTGGCGAAATCTGTCATTATAGAAGTTTAATTGTCTTTGACAATAGAACCATAATAATGTTCAAACTTATTTTCAATTAATTATAGTCGAAATTCGACTACCAGGGGAACACTTTACTGGTGGTAGGACCTCTTGTGAGTCCGCGCGGGTGGGTACCACCACCCTGCCTATTTCGGCCGTGAAGCAGTAATGCGTTTCGGTTTGAAGGGTGGGGCAGCCGTTGTAACTATACTTGAGACCTTAGAACTTGTATCTCAAGGTGGGTGGCGCATTTACGTTGTGGATGTCTATGGGCTCCAGTAACCACTTAACACCAGGTGGACTGTGAGCTCGTCCACTCATCTAAGCAATAAAAAAAAAAAAAAAAAATAACAGGTGCGCTATTCCAACCGACAAAATGATGGCTATCAGGGATGCAGTAACTGCAGCCGGGCCGTGTGTCCTTCATCTAAAGAAGATTAAATCAGTTTCGAACCGAACAAACGCTCCTCTCGTGACTGTGAACGCTGTTTCATGTTCATTGAAGCGCGTATCGGCGCGGCCCCAGAAATAAACTCTAACAGTTCACCGCGGAGCTTCCTTCTGTACACGTACCGATTACTGCGATTTTAGACGAATTCAGAACTGTTTTTTCACTAAAAAGTAATTTTAAATTACTGCTCTTCAATCAAAGAACTTGTCTCTAAAGATGCAGCCCAGCAATCGCTCCCCGGAAGACGTGGAACTAGACGTGCCGCGCTCCCGACCAGGGTCCAGGCGAAACTCTGCGTCTTCAAGAAGAAGCAGCATCAGAGATGTCAAGCCTCCTACACCCGCCCCGCACTCGCTGAGCTCAACGCCGAAGCACGGTGCCCGGACTCACCCTCTAGACTTCACCCTTACGGGCAAGCAGATAACCAGACGGTAACTGAAGTTGTCACACCTCGATTCAAGCGGCTATAACTGCGCACTTGCTCTGTGGTTAAAGTTCTGTGAATGTAACATAAAAACCAGCTTCTTCATCATCATCGTCGCTACGGTTTCCTCAATGCTGAGGGTCGTGACCACATCCTCGGAACAAGAGTTCATTTGTGGAGGACTCTACATCATGTGTTCCTGTCTGCCACTGAGTGTAGATCATCTTGGACTGTGATATAAGAGAGTAGTGCGGATCTGGTCAATCCAACGTATCGGGCCTCTACTACGTGATCTTTTTCTGTCCACTTTGCCAATCACCATTAGCTTCTCCAAGTTGCCGTCATTCTTTCTGGCACTGTGGCCAAAGAATTTCAGAACTCTACGAAGGCAGATGATAGATCGGCGCCAAGATGCTTAAATCTTTCTTATCTTTCTGGTTTATCTTTCACATCCAACGCCTCCCTCTCAAAAACACATCAAATAAGAACCGATGGAATATACAATTGATGATCTCCAAACGCCAATTTTGATTATCTGACTGCCGATTTCAGGAGCGACCGAGCCAATTCCCTGCCAGGATCGTACCTCTGTCGTCCTGCCAACGAGCCGGCCAGACCAAAGAGAATATTCGAGTCACAAAAGACGAGACCGGTGGTCACCAAAAGACATGAGACCTCGGTAGAAGACGACATGTCACTGGACTATTCGCAGGTGAGATGATTTTTTTTGAAGTCGTCACGACCTAATGAATAAAACGCCTGGTGCGTTTGTATCAAACGACCAGACTGTATCGGGATGCGAATCCCGCAGGCAGCTACCAATTGTTCTAATGAAATACGTACTCGACAAATGCTCAACAGATTGGGTGCAACCTTAGATGAATAACGGTCAATAATTTAGACGGACTTTCGTCATAAAAATACATTTTGCAAATCAACGCCCAGATTTCAGATTGCGAAGATCCATCATTAAAATACGGAAGATTCAGGGCTTTGGCGACGTCAACGCCCAGGCCGAGACTCTGCCAGAATACGCGGAGTGTCTCCTTGCAGAACCAGATGCACGTCCAGAGAACGGAGAGGAAGAACAGACTTGTTGAATCGAAGAAAAGTCAAGTGAGCACCACCTCGCGCGGCAGGGACCTCTCGTGCGATAATACTCTCACCTCCAGCTACTACAGGTAAGACAATGAACATGCAGTGTGGGTGTCGTATTTTCTCCTTGCATCGATAATTCTCAATGCTGAGGTTCGTGGCTTCGTGAGGCTTTCTTGGGCAAAATACAAATGGTGGGGTCCCGCGTCCTTCCACGGCAGTGCTCTTGGAAGATATTTAGTTCTTGGAGGCCGCTGAAGCCTTAAGTCCGGCTCATTAACCGCCGCCAGATACTCAGCGATGATTGTTTTATGGTGGAATGGTCGAACTCCAGCTCAACCCTTATGATATGTCGCATATAACCACAATGTTGTCATGTTTGGCAATAGAGCGACATTCTCGTTTATGCATACAGGCTCTGCTAAGAAATAACATATAGAATGAGCTGTACATCAACATAATTCGCACATACGGTGCGATAACGTCACTTATGCAAATTATTAATTTTTCATGAGAAACGTTGAAAAATTCAACATCTATACATATAAATAAAATTGGAGTGTCTGTTTGTAATATTGAAACAACCGCTTTTTACTACATGCATATGAATATATATACGGTACGGTACATACACCAAAGTAACATTTTTTACAATTTTTGTCTGTCTGTTTGTTCCGTCTAATCTCTGGAACGACTGGACCAATTTTGACGGGACTTCCACTGACAAGTAACTGATGATATAAGGAGTAACTTAGGCTAATTTTTTTAGACTAGCTTCGCCCCGCGGCATTTTACCCGCGGTACGACAATAGCCGCGGGTAAAATCGCGAGACTCAGCTATCAATAATAAAATTTAATGTTTCCAAAGCAAAGCGAGGGCGGGTCGCTAGTAATTAATATTTCTAGACCTCTGTACATATTTCTTAACACACAGAAATAACTAATCTTAAGATCTTGTTTAACTTGGATTTTCATCTTCACGTAAACATGATATTTTTTTTTATTGCTTATGTGGGTGGACGAGCTCACAGCCCACCTGGTGTTAAGTGGTTACTGGAGCCCATAGACATCTACAATGTAAATGCGCTACCCACCTTGAGATATAAATTCTAAGGTCTCACTATAGTTACATATCCCAGTTAATAGATATTTCAAGTAACCCGTGACGTCGCTGCGTCGTTGTATATTGGTGCGCGATCTATTAAGCGAGCACATTGTTCGTTTTGGCCACAAATGACGTCACGCGTGCGGCGACCTCCCATCTCCGGTTGTAGCAGGTGCGAAACGGAGCTCGGCTACTCGTCAGTGTCGCCGGAGTACTCAGGGCTGTCGTCCGCGGACCACTCCCCGGGAGCCGGCGCGCCCACGGACACGTCACCCCGGACCCAAGACCTGCAGCTCTCCAGGTAAACCCTCGATTATCAGCATTACGAGAATCGTGGCAGTGGTAGTAGGAATTTACTGGTGGTAGGGCCTCTTGTGAGTCCGCGTGGGTAGGTATCACCACCCTGCCTATTTCTGTCGTGAAGCAGTAATGCGTTTCGGTTTGAAGGGTAGGGCAGCCGTTGTAACTATCCTTGAGACCTTAGAACTTAAGTATATCTCAAGGTGGGTGGCGCCTTTACGTTGTAGATGTCTATGGGCTCCAGTAACCACTTGACACCAGGTGAGCTGTGAGCTCGTCCACCCATCTAAGCAATAAAAAAAAACGATTTAACATAAAACTAACACAAAATTATTACATTACAAAGTAAATTACAGACTGTCTTAATGTTAAATGGCAGTCGGTCGGCACGTAGCTGATTAGATGCAAGTATATTCGAAGGTATCCAGCCAGAAGGTATGCAGCCATTTGACTCTGCACTGGCATTGCTGAAGTCCACGTGCGACGGTAGCTGCTTCCTCCATCCGGAGGTGGCACTCCATTACATCTAAATTAACATTACTAATGAAGCAAAGTAGAAGGCACCAGGCCGCGTGGAAGGTTGCCCATGCGATGGACCGACCAAGTCAAGTCAGTCGGTTGAGGTCTGTCTCATTCGAACCTCAAACACGGGGTTTTGAACAATAGGGTCATTTAGTTGCAGTAGACCACACCTACGAACGAGCGGGAGACTGGCGATTTCCAACTTTTTTTTTTCATTCACCTCAACCCAAAACAAATATATACGTGTTTTGTTTGCGCCGTCCGTTCAGTTGTTGCGTCAGCACTTGGCAGGACAGCAGCGAGACGGACGACACCAAGGTCGAGGAGTGCAGGGACCGAAGCGGAGAGTGGGAGAGCTTCTGGGCCAAGTATAACGGCTCTATGTCCAGAGTGTCGCTGCAGGAGTACTACGACCAGTGCCCGACGCCTTACCGCACGGGGACTTTGGACCCGGCCGATCTTGGTGAGATGACGTATCGAAGGATGAAAGGTTGTTTGGTTTGAGCGACATTTCGATTAATACGCGACGTTTATTTTTGTAATTAAAGGCCCGGGTTTATTTGGTATCAGCATCAACAGTGTGCTTAGGGCTTGTACACAAAACTGCGATGCGACGTCGCTTCGTAAAAATCTACGAGCTCCCACGACGCATCACAAGAACTTGCGAATTGATTCGCATCGCGCATTCCTGCGATGTTAAAGGATTGTGGAATTGAAAGCCAATTGTGGAAGGGACACGCCTTGCCGTCCGAAATCGCATTGCAGCAATCCGTGTCGCAGTTATGTGTGTTGCGAATTCGCATCGCAGTTTTGTGTACAAACCCTTAGTGCGAGCTTTTGACGTTCTCGATAGCGTAAAAATTAACTCAAATTTGTATGGAGTTGGAACAGCGCCCCTAGCGGCAAACGTAGGCAAACTTTCCAACTCCATATAAAGTTAACTTTTACGCTGTCGAAAAAGTTAAAAAACTCGCACTAAGCCTAAGCCCACAGTTCGATTTTATTAATTGAACTTCAATTAATTTGACCTCATTCGAATAGCTGAAGAACTTTTGTTTGTTATGATATTTTTTCCAAATCCTTAAACTTTAAATAGCTCTGCTGTAAACTTGCAAAAATGTCGCTTGAACCAAACAGCCTTTCAGCCCTCGTTAAAAATTCTGGCGGTTTATTGTAGTCACTTCAGTCACCGTTCTCACTCGGCGGTATCTGACGCTGAGCTTTTGTAAGCCATGCCTCATCACGGTTGATGAGACCATCGCAACCAGAAGCACCGCGATGGTCAGTTAACCCAGAGTCGGGTGATTGCTAGAGACTAGAGCTCATTGTTGGGAATTCCTTTTCCTTATTACTTCCTCAATCCACAATCCACGCCATCTATTGACGCTCCAAGAAAAACTGCGCGTGTACAAACGAAGCAGCCAAGCGTGCGGTAAAACAAATACTAGTTGTGGTTACTGCTGATCAATTGGCACATAAAACTCTCGTCAGCGAGAAAATTCAAAAGCGCATCATCAAACTCCGGAGTGAGTCAATAAATCTATCCTTTTCTCAGTCCCAAATAAATTTAAACACAAAACACCATTTTTTTTCCTACCCATGCTAATAGCCTTGAGAGGCTATTTCAGCTTCGCCCTAACTTGTAAGTGAGCTCACGGGGCTCAAACCGGAGTGTTGCTAACACTGGCCCTAGCAAAGGGCAGTGCTTCGCAGAATCTACCACCGGATCGGAAACGCGACTCACTGAGAAGATCCGGCGAGAAACTCCCGGTACCACCGCCCTGCCCATTTCTGCCGTGAAGCAGTAATGCGTTTCTGTTTGAAGGGCGGTTCAGCCATTGTACTGTTAAAATGGAGACCTTAGTACTCATGTCTCAAGTTGTTGAGTCTCGTTTAAGTGGCATTGAGCCAAAGCAGACAGTTTTCTTTAAAAAAACCCAGACATAACCAAATTGCTTAATCATTAAAATAATTGTAAAGAAAAATACATTTTATTTCAAGGTCTCAAAAATCAAACTAGAAAAATTATAATTTTCGTAATTCGTTTCAGATACATCTCCAGAGTTTCATGTTCGATCGCCGAGCAAAGTAAAAGAATTGGACAACATCATTCGTAGCGAAGGCTTACATCTGACTCCGAGGGAGACGCAAAGCATGATCAAATGTGCTCACGTTCTCAGCAACGTCCTCTCTAACGCCATAGAAAGGCGTTCCAGGCAAAGTAGCCAGAGCGAACTTCGAAACGAAATAAAAATCGATTCTGAATGTCAAATAAAAAAGAAGTCACTGAAGCTTGATCTCAGGGAAACCGTAGCGCCTTCACGAGCGAACGAAAACGGCTGGGGCGTGACTGCGGCGACACAAACGGACATATCGCTGCCCAACACGAAAAGCGCTCCGAGAATCTTCGAGAACATTCTGAGGCAGCTGTCGAAAACTACGATCGCCGATAGCGCGGCGACAGACAAGAAATCCACTGAAAAAGTTGACGTCGCAACGGCAGAGAGAGAAGTCGGGAAAACTGATGAAGAAGTCGACGTTAATGTTTCGGGGAATAACGCAAATGGTCTAGTTTAAGTTTGTTTAATGTTAAATGTTACATTAAAACGTGAATGTACCATTTAAAAGTTAAATGTTACTGGAAAAAATGAAATTTTATGTTTATAGTGACATTTATTACCTACCTAATGGCTGGTGTCCTAAGGGACGATATCAGCTACTTATAAGACCAGTAGATGAGCTCACGGGCTCTATCTGAGAGAATTGCTAACACTGGCCCTGGCAAGAGAAGTGCTTCGCTGAATCTACCGCCGGATCGGAGATGCGATCCACGGAGAAGATCCGGCGAGAAACTCATTGGATTGTTTATGTGAAAGCCAGGATAGGCAATAAGATTTTCTCACGTATACTGTCGGAAATAAGGACCCGCAAATCCAACTTAACATTGTGTTCAATGAGGATGGATGTAAATTGAGATGATGAAGTCATTTCGTTTTCAATTTATCGGTACAACGCGTGTAATTAGTTTCCAAAATATTCTTTTCCACCTGATGGATGTCTAGAAGAGATCGCTCTTAGCGATCAGACCGCCAATTGTACTTTTTTTGTATTTCATGTTTCGCATTGTTTCTTTTGTTGGTGCACAATAAAGAATACTAGTGGGAAAAACTCTTTATAAATTTTTACCACGGCGGTGCGCTGGTTCAATATTTTTGAAGGAAGTTTTGCGGGGGCGAGTATCGCTAAAGATGCACAAAAAGAGGGGAAGGCCGAGGTTAGGCTATGAGGAGTAGACGTACCTGCCAACCCGTCGCTAGCTTCTTCCAGGCTGCAGAATTCGACGCCACTGCTGGACGACGCGTAATGGCGGCGACTTGACACGGCACTCTTCTAAATTATTGTCTATAAAACTTGTATATCACTCGCGCAAAGACGAATATGGTCGTCAGTAAGAGTTCGTATAATAGAGATCAATATGAGTCCATGAAAATATTTATGTGAAAAAATAAGCGGCGTGTGCGTGTACAGCGCGTGCGGTGCGGTCGGCGATAGTCTTTTTTATTTTTGACTTTTGCTTCTTATGTTTCTTTTTTATAAGTGGCCATAAGTGGCCATAAGTGGCCAAAAGAACCAAATACTCTCTCTCTCTCTTTCTCTCCCTCTAAAAAGTTTTACATAAAAAAAGGTTTTTCTTTACATTTTTTAAAGATAATTAAGAAAAAACAACTCAACAGTCAGTGGCCCATTGGATCACTAGAAGGCTGCAACCACGACCGCTCTGGTCTAGAGTCGATGAAAATGAACAGGACTATTGTCTCACGTATCCGCTACATGCGCTTTTTGTCAATCTAGCTATTATCAAGAAGTTAAGCGATAAAATCCGTAGACTCCTTAACATAGCGCAGCTGCTAGCTGGTTTTAACCCTCTGAGCGCCAACCGTCGATAAATCGACTATCTATTAATTGCGTATGAAGTGAGGATCATCGGAATACCGACTATTGCGCAGTTTGGTATTAGATATCGACTTGTCCGGACGTGCCTTAGCGCGCGCGTGAATAACGTTTTTAATAAGTTAATAATATTTTTGAATATCAAATATCAGTATCATTAATAGCAGCATTGCTTTTTGTTGTTATTTAAGTATTTTTTGATAAAGACCTTTGTTCAAGAATCCTTTAGCAATTTGTGTAAAATATGTAAAAATAAGCTCAACACATAAAGGGGTTCTTTTTAGAATAACGACATTAAATAAATTATGTATGTACTTGTTCTAAATATCTTTCATTACAAGCTTTAGACCTAACAATAATGTTCTAGTCGAAACGCCTACCCGCCTACAAAGGTTTTTTTAATGAAGGATGTATTAATGGTGGCCCGAAGGCCTTTCCAGTTTTACCAGAACAGATGGGCGAGCAAGGGCTCAGCCAGGAGGAGTGGGATTAGCTAACAGCTGCCCGAGCTCCTCCGAAGGAGACCTAACAACTCAAGAGCAGCTGCTTTGCGAATGAATCTACTACCGGCTCGGAATCGCGACCCGCTGAGAAGATCCAGCGAGAAACTCAGCGGGCTGATGTTTAGATTAGGTTGCACGGCGAACTCTTTGCCGAGTTCGACGGGTACGGTTACCGAGTTAGCCTACTAAGTGTATATATAACCTAGGCTAAGTTAATTTTTTTGTTCTTCAAACCTTGATTCTATTACCTACTTACGCCATTTCGGCAACGATTGTGAATGAATTTAATAATTTAACTAATATAAATTCCTAACTTTTAATCAATTAACGTAAGATCAAATTATGTTTCTTTAATACAAGTTAAATTCCAATTAACTTGTCAATTAAACTATATCTCTATTTGTTTGTGAAAATATTGTAATTTAATTGTTAATAATTTTTGTATGGAATAAAGAAAGCTTTATTATTACTCTCAATTGTATTTAACAATCCGAACGCGTTTTCAGAAACATCACAGGTAAGGTAGGTACTTAGTTCGTAGAAGAAATAAAGTTATTTAATAGCAAATGTCAGGTGACATTAAAGGAAGCGGTCCCGCCATGTCACAGGGACGTGTATATAATCAAAGGTCACAGGTGACTTTTTTTTTGAGGCAACGGCTCCAATTTCTTTATGCCACTGACGCCATCCCCTCGAAAATCAATTATACATATTTTCATCTTCACGAACACAAACAAGAAATAAAAAAAACACAGGAAATAAAAGTCACTTTTAATATAATTTTCTTTCATATAATTTTATTTATGAACTTATAAACACTACATCCATACTTAAACGCGATAAGTTGTCGTCACAACTACATTTGAAATTGAATAATTTATTTACACTAAGGAAACTTTCGGAGCGAACTAATAGAGAAACGCTCTCCTCTTGATATTCAGTTGCAAATGTAATTTTTCGGATGGCAGACAGCCCGAACGACGATGAGCGACATCCACGCGACATACTGACGCATCACCAGAGACAAAACAATATATTTCTTACTTTCTTGTTTTTATGAAGAATCCATTATTTTATATTTATCAATCTCATTTATTTACAAATTAAGGTAATAAGCGTATAAAAGTTGATGTATGTATATATAGCAGTGATCAGTGAGGATTCGAGATTCGTCGACAGAACAACACTGCCTCTGTCCGACAACCGCTGGCAACCGTCATCAGCATGTGACAACCGCTGGCAACGGTCATCAAGATGTGACATCCGCTGGCAACCGTCATCAAGATGTGACAGCCGCTGGCAACCGTCATCAGCATGGGACAACCGCTGGCAACCGTCATCAACATGTGACAACCGCTATCAACATTTGATAACCCATGACAACCGTCAACAACAAGTGACAACTGCTGGCAACTGTCATCAACATGTGACAACATTTGACAGCCGCTCTCCGGCCGTGCCCGTGTGTGGACGTCACGTCACCAACCTCTTACCGACGTGACAATTGCAAGATAACTTTGTTCCTAATTTAATTAAAATGGCATTCAAATTTAGTTTTTAGTCTAAACAAACCAAAAAAATTCGTGTAAGAACTTAACGAATTACGAACTCTCTCTTTTTGTACTAATAATAACTTAATTCTTAAAAAATAATATGGCATGATAAAGTTCTTATGTACAAACTACTTAAAGATATATTTATTTAGTACAATACATAATAATATTGTGGTTTCGACGGAACCTTCCGACGCGTTCGCAGTCACCACTTTGAGACGAAGTCTTCCAACGGTCGTCTTCTGTGTTGAGAGTACGACGGATGAGACGGAGACCTCCAGACCCCCACCGGACGTCCCTCCCCGCAACCCCATGCCCCGCGGCGGTCCCCCGTGCGGGCTCACAGCACCAATAGTAATTGCGTCTTATAAAATTTCGCTTTAGACGATAATTGCACATAGCGGTTAGTGACGTCATCGTTGAACCGAGAGAAACAGAGATATGTTCGCACTCTTTCTTGTCCTTCTTAGGGGGTCTGGGTGTCTTTCTTGTCATTGACATTAAATGGATTTAAACGAAGACCCCTGGCAAGAGAAGGCGGTCTCCTCCAGGGACGCGGGGGCCGTCGTCCGTCTCACGTGAGACACCGGCTTGAGGTCGAGGGAACTGCGTGAACGCGAAGCCGAACAATTAGTTTACTGTTTGAATTATCCCCAAGGTAAGGTTCCTGAACACGCGCAGTCTCTATTCATAAATGCATTAAGTCAATACTATACTATGTTAATGGTTCAGTACTCTTCTGACGATAAGTGGTCACCGTTGACCCTGATCCTAAGCATATCTTAGATCACGTCCAGTAATATTGCCCCAAATGAGACGTGATACAATTAATTATTCTATTCGAACACAACAGGTTACATAGCTCGAACCGCATTGCAATATACCAGAACACAAATTCATTGAGGTCGGACCTCAACATCCTCGAGTTTTATCTGCTGCGGGTACACAGTAGACGAGGATCCAATTAGCATTGCAACATACCAAAATTAGTTTACAAGTGTTTGAGGTCGGACATCAGAGCAGCAGCCTGTTCCTCCTGTGGTGCGCGGAGGACGAGGGCTGGGTGACGGAGCGGTGCTTCCTCAGCAGGTGCCTGTGCTTGGGGTCGAGCATGGCCGTGTAGCCGGTGGGGGAGCACAGCTCGGGGTACTTCTGGTAGAAGCGCCGGTAGCCCTCGTGCAGCAGGTACACCTCGGGGAAGCGCAGCGCCGGGTAGCGCTCCTTGTTGCTCTCGCGGTCCGACGAGCGCAGGAAGCGGGACCTGCCGCAGCACACACCCTCACTCTCTCCATCACACGACCCTCCCGCAACTAAGGCATCATGCCTTCCAGATCATACCGACGCTTGAAAGGCTTGAAAGGCAAACGTGATTAAGCAATAATAGCTGCTTTGTACATAAATAATAGGCAATAGCCATATTCGATGCGTAAAAAAAATATATATTTCTAGGTCTATTAAAATCATTTAAATCCTACAGCTAGATTCGTTAAAATAGATTTATTTCAGGTATTTCAACTTTAAATTAGTCTACTGTAAAGTTCACGCATTGTCGCTTAATCACGTTTACCTTTCAGGCGTCGATATGCTCCACAGATATAGACATTAACCGTCTGCGTCTGCATATTTGACTTCGGTCACATTGTCAGAAAGAGCAGTGACAATCTTGAAAAATTGATAGTAACTCGCAAGATTGCGGGCAAAAGATCTCGTGGTGGTAATTCAACGCGCTGGTCCGACCAAATTGGCACCACTCTGGATACTAGTCTATGATGCCATGCACACTGCCGAGAACAGAGGAAGATAGCGAAAGATCATCCAGGGAAGGTAATGGGAGATGGTCACGATCCTCAGACATGAGGATTTTTTTGGAGGAATGAAAAATTTTATTGGTGGCCTAGCACCTCTTTTGAGTCCACGCTGGTAGGTACCACCACCCTGCCTATTTCTGCCGTGAAGCAGTAATACGTTTCGATTTGAAGGGCGGGGTAGCCGTTATAACCATACTGTGAAACCTTTGGACTTATATCTCAAGGTTTGTGGTGTGATTTACGTTGTAGATGTCTATGGGCTCCGTAATTACGGATTATTATCGAGAATTTTGTCATTATAGCACTGGATGTCTCATAACCCTATACTCACAGTTTAGGTCCCCGTTCCAATGAGAATTCGCAGTGGAAGACCAGGATGCTCCGCTTCCCGTCGGATTTCCTCGGGGACAGCGGCTCGTGGACGAGGGCGAGGATGTGCGCGGGGGTGAACAGGTTGTGTGCGCCGGCCACGTGTCCGCCCGCGAACTCGTACGGGTAGCGGCAGTCGATCACCTGCGACACACAACAATATATATGTTAATATACAATTAATTGAAATTATAAGTTTGAACATTATTATGGTTTTATCGTCAAAGACTATTGTACTTCTATAGTCACAGATTTCGCCAAGACTACACTATAGACAAACAATATTTATCTAATCTATTCTCAGTATGGCCACAGACTTTAACAATAAACAAAAGGAGTATTTAAATGTGTGTCATATCTTTTTTATTGATTTAATGTATTTTTTATGTATAATTTAAAAGCATTTAGCAATCTGCACTCTTTCTCTATATTCTCTATAAGTGTGAGAAATTTCATACTCCTCCGTCTGCGCAATTTTTGTAAAAATGGGTTCAAAGTTTTTGCTTCATGTAATATATAGATTAATCATCACTATAGGTAATTAATATGATTCAATGTTAACAACCACAGTAAGAAACACAATATGACAGCAATGTCAGAAGAGAACAGTTGATAAAGGGTATATTTTGTGCTTAAAATCAGAAATTATTAAAAAGATGAACAAAAATTGCTCTGTTCAAATTTAGTGCTGTAATCTTCCATTAGTTACCTCAAGGTGAGCAACATCTGGGTAACATTGACGGGAACAGAAGGTTTCAATTAAGAATAGATAACCCACAAGATATTGCATCATAGACTGACCACTACAAATCCCCCCTTGAAGACATATGGATACTCACTTGGTAATCGCTGATGCTGCTCTGGTAAGCTCCTCGGATCAGTTCAGCCAACGTATCACAGGATATGCTCTTCAGATCTGAATGATCTCCGCTGATGAGTGGCAGAGCAAATGGCTGACTGAAATCTCCTATTAGATCTGGTTCTATGGCAGCTGGAAATGACAGAAACATTAATTAATAAGTAAATCCTATTATATTATTATTTTTGTAAATAATCACAGATTCATAGCTTGCTGTGGTTGTGCTGTAGGACACCTGATGAATTGGAGTGATGGCTTTCAAATATTGTAAGTCGGTACATATTGCCCTAAATTGTATGTGTGTACACAACTTGTTCTCACAAATGAGCATTACTTGTCCTGACTGGCTGATGCACCAATGCACTCCACATTAAGCGCAATGCCACTGGGCCTGCAGTCTTGTGTCTCCTGCTTTCATTATACTATACGCATTCACTTAGGAAGTTGGAAATTTTATATCAAGGTGGATGGCATTATTCACATTGCGGCATCTATGGGCCGTGTTGAGCGTTTCAACAAAAAAGTAGCTACTGAACAATCTTTTTGTTTTTTTTTATTGCCCTCATCAGCAGACGAGCTTACGGCCCACCTGATGGTGAGTAGTTACCGTCGCCCATGGACTTTTGCAATCCCAGGGGCAGAGTCAAGCCACTGCCTACCATGAAATGTTAGAAACTTGAAATATATTCCCATAGACAGTATCCTTGTTATAGTCCTGGAGACAGTATCACTGACTTGAAGTTCAAGCCTAACAAGGTCAGGCTATTAACTATGAGTTCCTGTATCATACATCTCAATTATATCATAGATTTTTTTTGGCTTAGGTAAGTGGACAAGATCGTGATACACCATGTCTTAAATGGTGTCTGAAACCTGTAGACTTTAGCATAGACATAGACAGAGCGGTAATTCCTACCCGTGCGCCCTCACAAATAACACAAGTGCCATCTATACCCTTCAAAAACATTCGCACAAAAATACGTAGAAAGTTACAGGCAAAATGACTCATAACTTACATCTCGCTAAAGCAGACATTATCGACGCATTATTTTCAGAGAAAGCTCTTTGTAATATGGGTCTCTGGATCTTTCCACTGTTGTTTAAATCTTCCTTCCTTCTTTTACAGGCAGAGTCAGTTTCGCTCTCCTCCAATATCCTACATCGCTTTTCGGGACTCTCTTTGATGGAAAAGAGAGAAGCTCTTTCTGGATTAAAACTCAAACTCCTGCTCAAATTAATTTTCTTTGTCATAACAATATTGTTCTTTATCTGTCCAGATAATAAATCAGTGATATTAGCTAGCTTTGGTGAATTGGACTCTTCAATCTCGAGGAACGGTTCTTCTAGTTCTGAAACAAAGCCGCTCTCCATCGAGGTGGTGGACTCGGATGTGTATAGCCTTAGTTTAGTGGGAGAGCCGTTAGTACTAACACTAGAATCGCTTATCTCATGTTTCAGTGGATTATTTGTCGTAGTTTCTGTGAATTTTAAAGATTTCTTCACTGATACTCTCTTTCCTAAAGCCGGTGAGGTGAATTCGAAGTCTTCGTCGTCAAAATTGAGCATTCTGTTGGCTGAATTGGAACGGTTGAAGGATGTGGAAGGTTCGTTTTCAGCTAGGGGAGCACCGAACACAAAATTCCGGGCGGTGACCTTCCTGGCGCTGGACACCCGCCCTCTGGATATAATATCGGGACTGTCAGTCGATATTATTTCGTATTTCGTGCACGTATCAAAATTATCAGAGTCAAATTCTTGTTCTAAATCTTGTAAAATATCCAATTCCTCAACTGGTTCCGCATCTTTTTGAGGTACGAATGTATCTTTTATTTCCGTTTGGAAGGATGACTGCAAATTGGTGAAGTCCAACTGAAAATACAAAGAAAACATTATTTCTTTTCTTTTAATAGCTTAGATATGATATAGATATAAGTATATTTTATTTGCTTGTTGAGTGACTGTTAAGCTTGGCGTGCTCACAACAGACTTCGTGGTATGCAGTTATTAGGGTTCATAGATGTAAATGGAGACAGTTGGACTTAAAGAATAACTTCATGGCAGAAATTGGGCATCAACTATCGATGATACATTCTTTTTTCCCTACTAAATCATTGGTAGTTTAAGGGGCTATTCTAGACAAGCAAGGGCACATCTGGTTACAAAAAATAAGTAGTACAGCACACCAGGAAGAGACAATTAGTTATTTAAATACTCCTCACCTTAGCATTACCCCAACTCGTCTCCCCTGAGTTGTTGAAGCTTCCACCAAACGAACAGTCTCTCGCATCTTCTTCATTATCAAATTTCATGAAAGTTTCTGCCATCATTGGCTCACAGTTCTCCTTGTTGGATCGTTTATACCAAGATCTATCTTCTAATACTTCTTTAATCTTTAATGTGCCTCTCAGACTCCGACTAGTAAGGGGTGAAGGCCTATCCAGAATGTTCTCAGCTATTTCATATGATAGCGGTGATCTTACTTTGGGTGTGACTGGCGTATGTCTGATTTTTGGTGTTTCTTGTGAAGTTTTCGGAGTGAGAGTTAATCTCTGGGATTTTGGTGAGTTTGTCATGGTTTTTAGAGGTGAGTTTCTGGTCTCTGGTGACTTTAATCTTTCTATCAGAGGTGAAGTAGGTTTGTAGTTAATTGGTGAGCTGAGTATAGAGTTTTGTATGTCTGAGAGGATCCTGCGCTTCGAGGGGCCAGGACTTTGGTCGAAGCTAAGCGAGTGGGGGTACATCTTCTTTTTGTAGTTGTGCGAGAATGCTTCTTCCTGTTTACGTTTTGTTGCGTTGTTACCGGAATTTATCCTGAAGTTTTCTGTTATTAATCTGGAATAATAGAAAGAACATATCATTGGTGGAGGCAAATATGAAGGTAGGAGTTACATCATGACAGTTAAATGTTGTTCAGTTATTTTTAGTTATATTTCTTGTGTTACATGTTTTGGATCCATATAAACAACTCATCAACACTCAATAATACATGTTCCCCTAAATTTTGACTCTATTTCAGAAGATTAGTTAGTAGTTTCTATATCTATGCTAAATAATATAAATAATATTTTTACTAGCAACCTGCTTACTGGGATTGACTGGAAGAGATCAATTTGAATATTCATTATTGGATGCACCTTGTAGACTTACTACTTGAAGCTAGTTACTGTCTATATTATTACTTCATCTTCAAGTGTTATCCTCTGAACTAGACGGAAACAAAATAAAACAATACTTGTTTATTTTTAAAGAAAATTACATGTTTATCAATTTTGATGTTATGAGCAAAACATTGTTAACATTAATTTTATATTTTATTAATAATAGACACATAGATCATGAAGACCTGTTGGTAATTGAAACTATTATTTGAGATTTAATAAATTTCCTGATGATGTTAATGTATAGTATATTATAGGTGTATATGTAAAGTATGGTAAGTAAAATTATACCGATTTAATAACATTAAATTATCTTTTAAGCTAAGATGAAAATGAAATTCTGTGAATTGGCTCTAAGATGAATAATTTATTCAAACTTTCTGTCATCATTACTGTGTTGTATTATATTAAATTTCAAAGTGATTAGTTGATATGTTGCCTCACATACTACTTTACTATGTATAAGAACCTGAATAGGTAAATAATAAATCATTTTGAAGCTTTTAAAGCAAAAAAACAGATAAATTAACTGTTGTAATAAAATGGAACTCGAATGAAACCGTAGTTGGACGTCTTATGAATCAAATTTCATTATACTTTTTAGCGGTATCTTTAGGGTGAAAAGAAAGGGTTAAAATGCGATATGAATGGTAAAAAAACTGGTCACGAACCTTTCATGAACCCTAAGCGACACATTGTTAACGTAAATCAATATCTTTCTGTAGAAATAACATGGAAAACCCCCATCGTGGTTTATGTCGTATAACCAGGTTATGCGAACGAAAATAAATTCACACGTGAACAATTTAGTGTCACAGGTCACTAACTAGACTTCATTGTATTTTAGCACAATAATTAAACAACAAACTATCGTATTAATCACAGGAAATTAAGAGATCTGTAAATAGCGGAATTCGCGCGGTTTTCGTAAGTTTTCTGAACTGTCAATTTCTACGGGCAAAGGTGTTGTTTGTCAAACAGCTGATGGCGTTTTGTTTACGCTTTCTGATTTCCCTTATTGCTTACTTAGAATTCTAAAGCATTGTTGAGTAAATATCAGAAATGTATTATTTATCATTTCACTTTAAATTAATGTATTATCAATAATCTTACATGAATATAACAATTATAACTTTATTATGGTTGTACTTTACAGACTTTTACAATATTTACGTTGGAAAATATTTAGATTCAATCTTCTTAGATAGTAGCCGCAGTTTAATGAGATGAACTTTGGTGTAAAAAGACATCTGTTCTCTATCGTCAAAAATCGGTTAGATCATCAATATACATAATTCAAATATATTCTGAATTGATTTAGGGAGGTGCATTCAGTAGAGCCGTTACCGGTAAAGTATTATTAAAATCAACAGATAATAATACATATGCATTGTGCTTGAATCTTTGAAGACGGACGAGCTGACGAGCGTAATAAAATGCTCTGTAACATTATACATTGCTTAAGTTAATTATCAATGTTTTCAAATTTTGACATATGAATAATTGCTTGAAACCTATGAGAAAGATTAAGCCGGTGTTTCCCAACGTGGAGCCCACGCCGCACAAGGAGACAATTTGTTAATTAACGGGGGCAATCGCACTAAATTAATATAGAAAATCTGTATTAAAATTATTTTGAGTTTGAATTTCAGTTTTTTCAGAATTCAAAACGTATAATACGTTTTGATTTCTTCCTAAAACCTATCATTTGTGTTGCTTGAGTGAACAAATCGATTCATTAATATTAAAACTTATGTAGGTGGGGCATAAAAATTTTAGAATTGTTACAGTGGGGCATGGCACAAAAAAGGCTGGGAAACACTGCATTAAAGTTTTAAAGTAGTTTTGTTCGTGTAAACGGCTCGAGAAGCCGAACTAAATACTAAAAATATTAAATTTTAGTTTCTAAGAATAAATATTAACATAATAAAAACAATTTTCTAATGAAATACGTACTCAACAAATGTTCACGATTGACTTCCATGGTGAAGGAATAACATCGTAGGCAAAATTATAATTTGCGTAATTACTGGTGGTAGGACTTTTTGTGAGTCCGCATGGGTAGGTACCACCGCCCTGCCTATATCTGCCGTGAAGCAGTAGTGCGTTTCGGTTTGAAGGACGGGGCAGCCGTTGTAACTATACTTGAAACCTTAGAACTTAAATCACAAGGTGGGTTGCGTGTTTACGTTGTAGATGTATATGGGCTCCAGCAATCACATATAACATCAGTAACGGTAACATCAGTACCGGAGAACAACCTATTGAGTTTCTCGCCGGATTTTCTTAGTGGGTCGCGGTATTAGTCCGGTGGTAGATTCTGTGAAGGAGTGTCCTACGACCGGTGTTAGCAAATTCTCTCAGGCTGAGCCCGTGAGCTCGCTTTCCCGTCAGCGCATAGCAGAAATCATATATAATACACATAAATTAGTTTTCAAACAAATCAAGCACTCAACAGAAATGTTTACAGGCATCAGCCAATAGATGGCTGCGCTTTGATTAGTTTCGCATTGCTCCTATAGATGGCAGTAACATATTACCTATCCTTTTTATTTTGAATGAAGGATTTTGTAAACTTTCAGAAACCACAAATTGATAAAATTTAATCAATTTGTCTATGGCAAATGAAGACTCGTATGATTTTTTATTTTCTGTGTTAAGTTGTACAATAATTAAATGCCTTAACTTTAAAAACATATAAGTTTCGGGGCATCCGCTACAAGATGTCGCTAGTTTCCATACAGAAAAAAATATTTGTCTTAATGTATCGCGTTTCACGGTCCTAGCAGAAACAGCCAGCCCAGCAACAGGTAGGGAAAAAAGGCATTGGAGACTGCACTGGAGAAATTTTGAAGCGTATATAAGTATGTATGTCAGTCTCTGGTATTCATAGCACAGGGAATCCTAATTTAGGGCGGGGTGACCATGCGAGATTTGTTCTCACTTATTTATTACTTAAACAAAGCTTATCTTGAAAATTTCGCTAGTGAGATTCAGATATCTGTCAAACGTAACCCTGCCTAACTGTCTTTGACACTGTCATTGTTGATCGTTACGTAATCGCAACGGTTATTCTGTGTCGGTTACGTTATCTGGAGACGGTGCAGATTGTAAGGTCGCGCGCACATTGTCGCGGCGGAGCGGGCAGCGGGCGCCACCAGGCAGACAAGCATTTATAAATACGTGCTAATGTTAGAAATGTGAACGTTTGTTTGTTTATATGTAGTTTTTTCGTTTGTCCTTCTGGCGAAACGTAGCATAGGGATAGCAAATTTACGTTTTTGTTGTTTCCTACCTATTCTAGTAACCTCGAGGAGTTTTTCTAGATTAGCCGAGTTTGTAGGTGAGCTTACGAGGCTCAAACTTGACGACGTTGCTAACGATAAAATAAAACATTACACACACTACCATGTCTTTGACTCAACACATGAGTCGACTATTATCAAAGCCGGCAATGTGACTTTTGGACAATTATTGGTAAATCAGAAAAACGAATTATTGACTTTGTATTCTATTGGCAGTCACAAAACTCTTCTGAACGACATCTTAGATAAATAACAGGTTAAGTATTAACCTTTATTTAATGCAGGTTTTGAACCGTATTCTTTGAGGGAGACGATTATATTCAAATCAATCTGTATTGACATATTAATAAAAATTTTTTGTCCAAATGCACAGATTGCCACCTTTGATAATAGACGACTCACATATACAAATACACTCTTTCTTTATTGTTAAAAATTTTGTTATTGCTTAAAGTCTGTGGTCTTAAGAATGTTGTAATTAAGAATAGATTAATATTGTTTGTCTTTAATATTATTTGTCTGTAGTGTAATCTTGGCGAAATCTGTGATTATAGAAGTATAATAAATATTTGACAAAAGAATCATAATAGTGTACAAACTTATAATTTCAATTAATTATAGTCGAATTTCGACTACAGGGGGACCACTATTATTTAAAAACCGCTCGTTGCGATACCCGCTTCGCTTATGAGCGCGTCCACAACCGAATCCATTGTGAACTACCCTCCATCGGGAGCATTGGCCGTTGCAACTTTGCTTATCGTTTCGAGCCGGGGGTTAATTTTTTTTTTCGGTTCACGCAAGGGATGACTGGCTTGGCTCCGGGGAGGACTCGAGCTTCACGCCTTTAAGCTTTCGCTGAGTGAATAGGGAGAGTACAAAGGAAAGCTTTTAATATCGACGATGTAAAGTGGGAAATTCGTTGATCGGTGGAATGAGTTTATGCAAAACGCTTGTAGCGGTTTTTGTGTTGTTAAAATGAAGATGTCTGCTTAAAAAGAAACTGTCTAGATTTAATATTAAACCATTTTAGTGCTGAGCTTATTTTGTAGAAATGGCTTATGGATTTTTAGAAGAAAAAAAGTACCTTATAGACAATTTTACCATAAAAGTTCACAACAAAATAAATTGCAACAGCTATTTATTAATGTTATTAACTTATTAAAAACGTTGCACCTAATACCAAACTGCGCAATATTCGGTATTTCGACGCTCCGCACTATATACGCCCTGTCCTCGTGAAACTGGAAAGGCCTCCGGGCCACCAGTAATACTTCAATCATAAAAAAAATATCTTTACACGCGCTAATATAGAGTCGATCTATCGACGGTTCGCGCTCGAATTCTTGGAATTTTAATATATTGTGATTTTATTTATTTGTTTAATGTAATGAGGAGATCCGTAGAAGAACCAAAGTTGCTGACATAGCCCGTAGGATTAGCAAGCTGACGTGCCAGTGGGCAGGCCATATAGCGCGAAGATCGGATAGCTGATGGGGCAGAAGGATCCTCGAGTGGAGACCACGTACACGTAAGCGCAGTGTGGGACGGCCACCTACAAGACGGACCAAAGACCTGGTGAGAACCGCTGGGTTACGTTGGATGCAGGTGGCACCGGACCGCATTGGACATCACTTGAAGAGGCCTATGCTCAGCAGTGGACAGTGGACAGGCTGAGATGATGATGATTTAATGTAAAATACCTATCGATTCGATTAAGGCACCGAATTTGGATTGCCATGGACAGTTATAATATTAGTTTTAGTACCATTTCGTACCAAAAGGTGCTGGCAGTGGTTTGGCATTGTTGTCCTTCTACATATGCGCTGGTAGCTTAAGGGGCTATTCCAGCTATGTTAAATGTTAATAAGAAAATTATATAATATACAAGTTGAGGCAATATTTATAACTAGTGGTCCCCCGTAGTCGAAATTCGACTTTATTTAATTGAAATTTTAAGTTTGTACACTATTATGATTCTATTGTCTAATTCTATAATCACAGAGTTCGCCAAGATTATGTACGCTTTAGGCGAATATTAATAAAGACAAACAACATTTAATCTACTCTCAATTTGACCACAGACTGACTATAAGCAATAAGAAAAGTTTGACAATAAACAAATAGTATGCATGCGTGCGTGTGTATGTCAAATACACGGTAGTGTGTGTTATGGTTTTTTTAATTGATTTATTGTATTTTTTATGCATAATTTAAAAAAAATATTAACATTCTGCACTCCTTCTCTATAGTCTCTATAAGTGTGGGAAATTTCTTACTACTCCGTCCGCCCAATTTTCGTAAATAGGGGTACAAAGTTTTTGCTTTACGTATTAATGGAGATGTATGGAAATGGTAGTGCAAGGTAGAGGGGGAAGAGGTCGACCGAAGAAGACATGGATGGAGTGTGTGAATGACGATATGAGAGAGAGGAGTGAGTGTTGAGATGACGGCTGATAGAAGAGAATGGAAAAGAAAAATTAGCTGTGCCGAACCCATAGTGGGATAAGGTTAAGAAAAAAAAAATTATATATTTATAATAATTATTTTGTAATACATACAGGTATTTAAGTAAAGAAAAACCTTTATTATTTAAAACTCTTTAGTTTTTAAAAATGATT